GGGCGGATGGTGGACAAGGACCTCTTGGTGGCAGAGTGATTTTAACCCGCGTGGAGTACAGTCCTAATAGAACGGGAGCCTGAGACAAAGAAGGCCCACAGGCCGAGAGGCCACTTATCTCCGGAGACCAGCCAGGCTCTGGGGAACTTGTGACTCAGAGGAAGGGAGAGAGGAGAGGCCTCGGTGGAGATAAAAGGGCTGCATCTTGATAGGGGACAGAGTGCCATCAGAAATATAAACATCTTATTCTGAGCAAAATGTAGATGCTTTTAAGAGGCCTAATTAAAACGAAGTAAGGAAATCAGATCGGCAGCTCACAGGCTCTGCCACCCGGGCTCCCCTACAGAGGGTACGCATCCCTCCTCGCTTGCTTCCCTGTGCTTCCAAAAAGATAAGGCTTTTACTAAAAAAAGGTACGTGCCTTGGGGGGTTGGGGGAGGTATCAGGACCTGCCCAGTCAGGAATGTCGGATCAGATCTTGCTTGTCAGCACCTCGAGTCCTCGGATGGCCAGCCCAGTTTGATACTGATGCGCAGGCCGCCGGTCCTCAGAGTTCTCCCTGTGCGCATCTTCCTGGGGAGATGGTCTCTACTTCTATACACTCCACTGCCTCTGGGGCAGCTGCCATGTCCCCTGCACCAAAGATTGCACCTGCCAACTTGCCTTCCTCCTCCTCCTCCTCTTCTCAGGAACGGCTCTGACCCCATCCACCCAATTAGCAGCCTGAGGGGCGTCCCTGACTCCCATGGGAGGCCTGCACCCAGAGGGGCTCGAGGCTGAGACTGCAGGAAGGGCTGCCTTCCGTGAGGACGGGTGTCCTGGGAGCCAGTGTGGCTGAGGGCTCTGTGCTTCTCTAACTTGGGCAGGGACAGTAATGTCCAGCAGACAGAGGCAGACGCCGTGGGCAGCCTTGTCACACATTGGCCCTTTATACCCTCATCCGCTCATTGGAAGCTTCAGGAGCAAACCAACGTCAAAGCAGCCTTGCTGGGAATACCCCTTTCCATCCTTCCCTGGCTTCAGGCTCGGGGTTCTAATGCAGGCCTTCTCTCCCGCAGGTCCATAGATTTCCATAACGGGAAAAATAGTGAACAGACATTGAACTTGTACCCTGACCCAGGCACTGTCCTAGCTGTTTCATTTAAAAAAAATTTTTTTTTTAATTTCAGAGAAATTAAAAGCATCGATGCTGAGAGGGAATCATCCATCAGCTGCCTCCTGCACGCCCCTTACTGGGGACCAAGCCTGCAATCGAGGCATGTGCTCTGACCAGGAATCAAACCCTAACCTCCTGGTTCATAGGTCAATGCTCAACCATGGAGCCATGCTGGCTGGGCCATCCTGTTTTAAAGCCATGTCTTACTCCTCATGATACCCCGAGCACTGTAGTTAGGTGTATTTTAGTGGGCTCCCACAGACTTTGGTAACAAGTTCTAAATCCTCTTCATAAAAAAACTAAAATAAAATAAAAAGTCGCCAAAACCGGTTTGGCTCAGTGGTAGAGTGTCAGTCTGCGGACTGAAAGGTCCCAGGTTCGATTCCGGTCAAGGGTATGTACAGTACATTGGTTGCGGGCACATCCCCGGTAGGGGGTGTGCAAGAGGCAGCTGGTCGATGTTTCTCTCTCATCGACGTTTCTAGCTCTCTATTTCTCTCTTTTCCTCTCTGTAAAAAAATCAATAAAATATATATTTTTTAAAAAGTCTTTCCTGACCATGGGCCACACTTCCCAAACTGCCTCCCTGGAGCGCTGCCCCTGTCCACTTAAGAAACGCCCAGACCTACAGGGAATTCTTGTAAGAGCTGATTTGAGCCAAACTGACCCCATACACTGGGGAGCAAGATCTCAAACGATCTCAAACACTTTTTGAGATCAGTTTTGCACTTCTTTTATGCATTTGAAATTAAGGAGGGAATGTCAGGAAGGTAACATGGAGGTGGGAAGAAGCAAGGCGGGCTTGGGTTAGAGCAGTGGTCGGCAAACTGCAGCTTGAGAGCCACACGTGGCTTTTTGGTCCCTTGAGTTTTTAGCAGAGGCCAGCTTAGGGGTACCCTAATTAAGTTAATAACAATGTACCTACTTCTATAGTTTACGTTTAAAAAATTTGCCTCTCAAAAGAAATTTCAATCATTGTACCATTGATATTTGGCTCTGTTGACTAATGAGTTTGCCGACCACTGGGCTAGAGGATACTTAAGGAGATGGTGTGCTGTTTTGAGGGGTAGTATCTCCTTCAAGGGGTATTGCTTCTGGCATTTCAAAGGTGTGTTAACCTAGACGCACACCTTAAATGGCTTAAAACCTTTCCCTAAAGAAGTGACAGGCCTGGTGTGTGACCACGCACCATGACCTGCCAGGTTAGGAATGTATGAGCAGATCATCCTGTGACGTTACTACTTAAAACCCCTTTACATCCCAGCTCCGTCCCCACGCTTTTGCCTGGCCAGCGCCTGCTTCTCAGAGAATTAGTTGAGGCCTCACCTGCCCTGGAAAGCCTGCTTGTAGGCTGCACTCGGCCACACTGATGAGCTAGCTACATCACGTGTCCACTCAAGCAGCAGGTACTGGCTGCTGAAACCGGTTTGGCTCAGTGGATAGAGCATCGGCCTGCAGACTCAAGGGTTCCAGGTTTGATTCCATTCAAGAGCATATACCTTAGTTGCAGGCACATCCCCAGTAGGGAGTATGCAGGAGGCAGCTGATCGATGCTTCTCTCTCATTGATGTAAAAAAAAAATCAATAAAATATATTAAAAAAAATAAATTAAAAAAAAGAAGAAGGAGAAGAAGCAGGTGCTGGCAAGACTGGCCTGGATGTCACATCTCCTGGGGGCTTGCCACAGTAGCAGGCACACAGTGAGTGAGTGAGAAGACAGACGTGCATGAATTTTGTAAATTGAGGTCAGTATTTCCGTTCACACTGGAACTTGTTTTAAGATTGAAAACGAGCCCTAGCTGAAACCAGTTTGGCTCAGTGGATAAAGCATCGGCCTGCGGACTGAAAGGTCCCAGGTTCGATTCTGGTCAAGGGCATGTACCTTGGTTGCGGGCACATCCCCAGTGGGGGGTGTGCAAGAGGCAGCTGATCGATGTTTCTCTCTCATCGATATTTCTAACTATCTCTCTTTCCGTAAAAAAAAATCAATAAAATATATTTAAAAGAAAAAAAAAGAAAAAGAAAAACGAGTCTTAAGCAAATTGCTCCTGGGCGCTGGGTGCACCCCTCCCCACAGAAGCATTGATAAATACACGCATGTGTTAAATGTTCTTTATATAAATACCTGCCCCGGGATCCTATCCCTCCATTCTCCAGTTTCCTGGGATCCTTTAAGAATCTATAACAGTAACGGATGCTATCAGGTCTAGTTCAGCTCCATGCAGCACAGACTTCTCTCTTCTCTAGAAGATTCTCCTCTTACTGAATGATCGTTTTGTACTAAAAAATGATAGCAACGAAAGTAGATGATGGTGTTCGGCTGGCATGGCTCAGTGGTTGAGCATCAACCTATGAACCAGGAAGTCACCGTTTGATTCCTGGTCAGGACACATGCCCGGGTTGTGGGCTCCATCCCCAGTGTGGGGCGTGCAGGAGGCAACTCTCTGAAAACAGAGAAAGAAAAAATAGATGGCAAACAATAGAAAGGCTGCCTAAACAGTTTAAATTGCTTTAATGGTCTGGGCATATCTACTCTAAAAATATGCATTGGAACCAATTCAAAAGCGTAAAAAAGGCTCAACATGCATTTCCAAAGTGTAGAAGGATGTCTGCTTGTGGAGGCTGCCAGGGGAGGAGAGACCCTAGCAGCTGAGGTCTGGTCCCATGGCAGTGCTTCCTGTCCTACATCCGACCTCACTGGTAGCTCCCTCTGCCACTCCTGAGCACGGTGGGGGGGGGGGGGGGGGTGTGACTGGTTCCTTCCATCCCCTGGGTCTCAGCTGATGTTTCATCTCCTCCCAGCACCTTCCTCGACCACCTGCTGGTCCACAGACACAGGGAAAAGCCCTGCCACTGACAGCCACCTCTGTAAGGAAGGCCGGGGAACACTGAGGAAGGCAGGCCACTCCAGTCTGCCAATTCAGAGTCTGTTACGGGAAATTTACACACGAGGCCAGTCTTGGGCCCAAAGAATTATAAGGAGCAGGGCAGGATGGATGGGGAGCTGGGGTCAGAGGACGGAAACTGCTTCACAAGCTTGTCCGGAGCCGGAACCAGCATGCTGTGGGCACAGTGAGGGCCCATCAGACGGTCTCTGATTTAGGGTAAGGTGACCAGACGTCCCGATTTTTAACAATTTGCCCCATGTCCCTCTGCGTTGTAAAAAAGTCCCAATGTTTTTGGAAAGAAAAATTGGGACTTCTTTAAAATGCAGAGGGACACGGGGCAAATTGTTAAAAATCAGGACGTCTGATCTGTTTAATTTAGGGAGACATCCCTGTTCTGGCCCTGACCTAGCTCTCTGGTCTGGCAATGGCTGTGCCATGGAACAGCCTCTCCTCCATCCCACCTTGTAAGAGTAAAAGTAGTCACTCTGCCCCCCCACTCCATTTCTTCCGTATCACCATCTGAATACCCATTATTTATTACTGAGCACGCCTGTTCGACCAGGAGCAGAGGAGGGAGACCGGGCCTGTCCCCCTCAGTGGCAGCTCTGGGCCCAGGACAGGCGTGGACGGGACTGAAGTTGGGGCACGCAGGTCCTCCCTCCACACCCTGCACACACCTCTGTCCTCCTGGAGCTGCTCTCACACAGCCAACTTCCAGCCTCAATGCCACTGTTTCCCTTTCCCAGCCTCCCTCTTGTGAGTAGGTGCCCGCTAGCCAGCAACAAGGCATGATCAGACCAAAACACGAGACCTTTTCTCCTAAAAAACACTGGTATTATTCAGGTACGACTTCGACAGCAACCATTTCCGTGCCACATTAACCCAGGAGAGTGGTTTTTGGATACGCAGATGTTAGCAGAGCTTCCACCAGCTAAGAGTCCGTTTCTATTTTGCAGATTAATTCAAAGAAGGAATGCCAAGTTGACCTGGAATTCACCACAGAGCGCTACAACCCAAAGGTAAACTGCTGTCATTTGTGGGTCTTTTTGTTGTTGTTAATCCTCATCCGAGGATATTTTCCCATTGCTTATTAGAGAGAGTGGAAGGGGTTATGGGGATGAAGAAAAACATCGATGTGAAAGAGACACACCAATCGGTTGCCTCCTACACGGGCTGACCAGGGCTGGGGATCGAGCCTACACTCCAGGTACATGCCCTTGACTAGAATCAAACTGGGTCCCTTCAGTCCTTGGGGCTGATCCTCTATCCAAATTGGTATCTTATTAGCAACTCGTACGAATTCATTTTTTTGAGTAAGAATACGAATACATAGTGGCGTAGAGGTAGGTTTTTTTCCTGCCTTTGTTCTCAAGAACAGAGGAGCAGAGCGAGGCAGGAACTCGATTCCACTCCGGCCACGTCACGGCCTCCTGGGGGGGGAGGGGGGCAGCAGGGACAACAGCGCACACAGCATCACCCCTCCTTCCGTAGCCTCGGGAGGGAATCTCACAGCTCCCTCTGGTACCCCTCCCTAGCACCTCGGAGGCCTCGGAATGACTCACTCTCAAATGCCAACCGTTCCTCTGCCGTCAGCTGGTGACATTTCTCGCTAGCAGAGCGCAGAGCGAGCAGCCAGCCCCAGAAGCTGCCTTACCCAGAGGCTTTCTGTGAGGCCCAGCGGGGACAGGGCATCATCAGCCCCCACGTCTGACCAGGCAGCCAGGGTCTGCCAATTCCTTTTTCCCTTTCCCCGTCCTCAAGAGAGTAAACAGAAAACATACAAACCTCCATGCACCGGGCTGGGCTGGGAGGCGGCAGCAGGGTGGAGGGAGACCAGCCAAACCCCCTCTCTGTGGTGCTGAGCCAAGGCAGCCAGGGAAGAGCAGGTGGCAGCCAGCATTGAAGTCTGGGGTGGCAGACCTGGGGGGTCGGGTGGGGGGGAGACAGCCATGAACCTCGGCCTGATGCTTCGGGAACATCGCTGCCAGCGTTCAGAAAGAAGCTCTACCAAGACAACAGCAGGCTCTCCCTTTGCCAATTAACGGAAGGATTAAAATGTTTCCTAAAGCTTAAAGAAGACGCCTTTCGCTTTAGAGCTGCAAATTGAAAGCATCAGATTAAAGCGAAGGGGGAAACAATTACCAGATTATTTTGATCAGCAGTGTGTGTCTCTGAGGAGCACCGCTCGCTAATTGAAGTGTCCGTGTCAGGGGGTGGGGAGTCTTTCATCTCCAGAGGAGACAGCTTTGATTCCGCGGTGCTGATCTGGGGGGTAGAGAGAGGAAAGGAAAACAAACAGGGGCGATACCTGGCTCTCTCCCGTCCGTGGAAATGGCTTTGACATCAAAGCAGACTGTGTACGGGCCTGTGTCTGCCTTTGGTGATCCTCTTCCTGACGCTCGCCACCTCTCTCCCCGCGTTGTACTGTTTATTAGGATGTTCACGCACCGCGGACACTTCCTCTCGCTCAGAGCTCACCAGGGGAACGGTTGCCCGCTGGAAAGCCCACGAGCAGATCCAATTTTAATAGCAGTTTGTTTCCTTGCGGGCTTTTTTTCTTTTCAAGTTTATTTTGGGTTGTTGTTGCCATTTGAAATGCCACCCAGTTTGAAGGACTGGAAACGTGAAAAGAATTCAACAGCTTAACCAGCCACGTGGTAACTGGAGTTCTTACCTCGGGGCGCACGGATGGATGTGCATGGGGCTGTGGCTAGTGGCCCAGGAACTTCCTCAAATTCTAGACCGAGTTGATGGGATTTTTCTGGGACGAGGCTCTCTGGGGTTATGTGTGACCTTTGTAAAAGGGTGAATGGAGTGAGTCAGACACCCGAGTCCCCTGAAAGCACCCCCTCTCCTGCCCCGGCTGTCTCTGGGTGGAACAGAAGGCTGATCCCAGAATGCTCAGCATGTGCACATTTACATGTAAACGCAGACAGGCCCAGCGAGGTCATCCCAGCAGTTGGATTAGTCCCATGTGGGTAACCTCTGCCTCCACTTCATCCGGATGTGAACTTAGAGTTAGTACTGAGCCAGGGCTTTGCAAGACAGACATGAGCTCAAGCCCTGGCTCACCACTTCCTGGTGTGACATGCAGTAGCTTCCTCTTTAAAACTCCAGCATCTTCATCTGTAAAACTGGAACAACACCAAGTTCATAGGGCAGCATGAGGGCGTGACCATTTTTTTTTTTTTCCATAGGAACTAGCTTCACCTTTGAGTTCCAGTTAGAAAGCCGGAGGTCCAGCCGAAACTGGTTTGGCTCCGTGGATAGAGCGTCAGCCTGCGGACCGAAAGGTCCCAGGTTCGATTCTGGTCAAGGGCATGTACCTTGGTTGTGGGCACATCCCAAGTAGGAAGTATGCAGGAGGCAGCTGGTCAATGTTTCTCTCTCATTGACGTTTCTGACCCTCTATTCCTCTCTGTAAAGAAAAAAAAAAAAAGGCTGGAGGTCCAACTCGGCATGTTGGTCCACAGCAGAGAGGGCTTGAGCAGGAAGTACTCACGCATTAAGGGTGTTTCTTCAATGCCCCCGGCATTGTTTTGGAGCATCCTTTTTATTGGATTTTTAGAGAGGGGGAAGGAAGAGGGAGAGAGAAACATCCATAAGAAAGAAGCATCATCTATCAGCTGCCTTCTGCATGCCCCTACTGGGGATCAAGCCTGAAACCTGGGCATGTGCCCTGACCCAGAATTGAACCGGCCAGCTCTTGGTTCCTGGGTCGACTTTCAACCACTGAGCCACACTGGCCAGGCAGGAAGCAGGAGTTGAAATGACAGCAAAGAATGAAGGACAATTGTGCTCAGCTCTGAGCACAAAAAAACACTTTCTATTATATAAAGCAAAGGCCACTACATGTTGAGCTACCTGCCGTGTACAAGGAACTTCTCAGCTTTGTGTGTTTGTGTAGTGGGGTGGTGGGGAGAAGGAACCCAGCTATTTAATTCCAAACTCTTTATTTCAGGAAGGCGAAGAACGTTTGGGGAAATGTTCCGCTCAAGTGTTTTTCAAGAATGAGAAACCCGGGCCCACCATCAATGTCACCTGCACGCGGTTCATGGAGAAGAGCCAAAGGCAGCAGGAGGATTACCAGCTCTACAAGCACATGCAGCAGCTCAAAACCCCCTTGGAGGTCAGCAGCATACCTGGTACGGACCAGCTGATCTGGGATGTCTCTATCCCGGAGTGTATGAAATGATGAAGTCTTAAAAAAGAATGATCCTTTAAGTTTTTATCCCCCAAATGGCACTTTAGTCCAACCAAAGAGCGTGGTATACCTTGTTATTTAAACAAAACTCGGAAGTACGTTTTCCTGATCTTCACCTCCAGCACAATGTAGGATCTGTGCTCTCCGGGACCCGGGCAAGGCAGGAGGTCTGTCTTCAAGGAATGGGTAGAAGTCTGCAACAGGATGCACATGTAGTAGTGCACTTTTCTGGGGAGAGTCTAGAACCTGGAGTGACGCTGCTAGCGGTTCCTGGTGGTGGCTCTGGAAACTCAAGGTGACCCCATCCAGGACCTGCACTGTGCCCATCGTGGCCGTCCGTCCCAGGGCTGAGTGAGCCTTCCTGGGGGGCCGCAGAGGAGTCGGGCTGATCTTATTTTAGAGCGAGAGCTAATGGGCAGCAGTGCCATCTCTAATAAGAGACTTGCCCTCTGCCCCGAGTGACTCAGCGGAGTGCAGCAGAGCCCATCTGTTCTGGCACTCAGCAGGGTGCGGGCAGCATGAACGCTCAGCTCTTACCGGCAAATTCAATTTCCAAACCACAAGAGTCGTCTCTGGATCTGCGCTGGGGTATTAAGGCTGACATCTGACCAGCGCTGCAGCACTTCCCATCCCACAGCCCGTCACAGATCACTCGTTCGTTCAGAGACCAGGCCAGACCCGCGTTTACTTGGGGCCCCATGGTCTCCATTCCTGAGCTGTCCATGCCCCGGCAATGTTCCTAAGATCCTCATGTTCCTCAAGTTCAGAAGCTCAGATAGCTCTTATTGTAGCTCTCTGATGACTTAGGTGAAATCCTGTTGCAAATAATTGTGAAGATCAACTCAAATCCCATGTTACAGAATTTGCTTCTATTTAGCACTGCCTGAAATATATGGGCTAACAGCAAATACTTTATATAGTTATTTAGGTGTGTGTTTTTTCCCCTCCCCTGGGCATTAGTTGTAGAAATATGGTTTTATATATCATCCTTAAAACACAAATTTTAAAAAATGTATAGAACATCTTCTTTGAAGATTTGCCACAATATCTCTAGATTTTGGACACTTTTTAGTAGCACAGGTTAGTTAATAAAGCCTGAGTGCCCCCAAGGATCGTTCTGTAACAGGCCAACTCACTATGACTACTATGAAGTTATCAAAAAAATTTTTTTAACAGAAGGTGTCTTTCCATCCACAAAATTTACAAGTTTTCTAGTCACTTTCAATTTAGCAGAGACATTTAATGGTGCTGTATATAGCCTGTCCAAGTATATAAAATTATCTACTTTGAACTGAAAAAAAAAAAAAAAAAAAGAGTTTGGCTTCAGACGAAGTGAATAAAAACCATGGAGAGATCCGTGGAGTAGCCAGTTCCAATCTCAGCGAATTCTCCCGAGCAATTAATCAGTCCACAGTTCTGGGCCATGGTAGCGCAGTTTCTCTACCATTGATGTGAGACCATCAAATCCATTTCAGGATATCCTTGCTCCACAAAATTTTCCTCCTAAAAAGAGTTGTCTGGATTTTATTATGTGTAAAAATTTCACGTTTTCTAATGAATTCATAAGCTTCCATTAGATGAGCCCCAATATCCTGCAGACGAAGGAAAGGGACTGAGGTGAAGTCCTTCTTTGGGTTATGGGACAGGGCCACCAGCATTTATACTTTTTTTTTTAATTGATTTTTTACAGAGAGGAAGGGAGAGAGATAGAGAGCTAGAAACGTCAATGAGAGAAACATCGACCAACTGCCTCTTGCACACCCCTGACCGGGGATGTGCCCGCAACCAATGTACATGCCCTTGACCCAGGACCTTTCAGTCCGCAGACCGACGCTCTACCGCTGAGCCAAACCGGTTTCGGCAGCATTTATACTTTCAAATGTCCTCATTAGTCACCGTGTTCAGTGTAGCTAGTTTCTCTTTTCCACTCTTGGGTTTTCATCTCACGAGTCCACGATCAGAAATTACTTGCTAAAATGTGAGTTCCTAAATCACATAAATTACTTGCTAAAACATGAATTTCTAAGTCATAAGAGGTCCTTTATTAATCACTGTATCCCTCCCTGTAGCAGTGTCTGACAGTAAGTAGAGTTTTTTTTTTTGGCAAATGTTTGCTGAATGAAAAAGATTGCAGGTACAAAAACAATGCCACAGGGGAAAACACCCTGATTGATGTGTTAAAAAGTTTTAGAAATGTTGCCAATGCATTTACCAGAAATGGACAAAGATGGCAGGCAGATTGGCAGAGAACTTCTTATGACTGTAGACCCCAAACCAGGTTATGTAGTGACGATTACTGAGATGTTTTGATCAATGAAAAGGCTTCTCAACTTACAAGATGTTAGATTAATTCTGAGCATCATTATAGCTTCCTTTGCATTTATATAGTACAGCACACAGCTATGAAACTGTCTTATAGCAACTTGAAGCACGTAAATCTCAGTATGATGTAGAAAGATACAAATATTGCTAAATGTCTTGCTGTGGGAGAGATGACTGATATGACTAAGCCCTGATTTAATTGCTGAAATCTCTGAAGTTTTGTTCCCAAAATGCTCAATACCATTTTTTTTGTGTGTGTGTTCTCAGACAGTCATGGACATATTGATCCCTCTCTTGTACCCATCTGGGACTTAGCTTTTCTTGGCAGCTCGTACGTGATGTGGGAAAAGACAACGCAGTTCTTACACTACTACATGGCGCAGCTCAGCAGTGTGCAGCAGTGGGTAAGAAAAACGGAAAATTAACTTGTGCCACAAGAGATAAAACCAAATGCAGTGTGCTTGGACTAAATTGATGGGAGTTTCCAATTTTACGGCAAGAGTTTTAATTGCATTTCACTCATCCAATAAATATTCGAATGAGTGCAATGGGCCAGGCATGGTATTAGGGACGGATATAGCAGTGGACAGGAAACACAGGGCAGCTGTCCACAGGGAGGTGAATTCTAGTGAGGGAAGACAGTGAACGGATGAACAAGCAAAGACGTATCAAATGGTGGTGAGTGCTGTGGAGAAAAATCAAGTCTAGTCTAAAGGAGGCCCCTCTGAGTTGAGCAGAAGCGACACTGGAGCAGAGGGAGAAGTGAGAGAGGGCCTGCTTCCACAAGAAAGAGGACTTCCTGGTGTGACCGATGGGTTGGAGAGAGATCAGCGGAGCCAGTGTAGCGGAAACGGTGAGGGAGAGCGGGCCAGGAGGGGCCAGTTCATGTCAGGCCCAGAGGCTGTTAGAAGCGCTCTCTCTCTCTCTCTCTCTCTCTCTCTCTCTCTCTCTCTCTCTCTCTCTCTCTCTCTCTCTCATTATGCAATGTTAGCTGAGGAGTGACATGATCTGACTTACAATAGGATCATTCTGGCTGCTCTGTTGAGAACAGATTGTACAGACGAGAAGGTGGAAGCAGGACGGCCAGTAAAGCATTGCAATAATCCAGGCACAGCCTGGCGTGAGTCTGGGCCAGGGGGTAGCAGTGCAGGTGGCGAGACACTTGGACTGAGGATACATTCTGAAGACAGACTGAAATAGTATTTGCTGATGGGTTGGGTATGGACAGCAGAGGATGAGAAAACTTGAGGGTGATTCTGTAGGATGTTGGCCTGAGTAACTGGAAAGAGAGATTTCATTAACTGATTGAAGAAGCCTACAAGAAAAATAGAATTGGGGAGAAACTAGCTTGATTTGGGACATACTAAATTCTATGTCCAAGTAGAGAATTCACGTAGTCATCTGTACATAGTAGTCTCAGATACAGGGGTCGGGGCTGGACTCGTCACCCTGTAGGTGTTTTTTTTAGGCCATGAGACCGGATAGCACAGAGAATGAGTGTTACAGAGAAAAGAAAAGAAGTTATGTAAGGATTGAAGCCCTGGAACACTTCTAACTTTAGAGGCTGGAGACAGAAAAAGTGTTTCAAGGATGAGGATCAACTGATTGTATCAAAAGCGGATGGAAAGCCAAGTGAGATGAGGACTGAGAATTAACCATTTGATTCAGGCAGTGGGAAGTCAATGGGGAGCTTACCACGCTGTCTTTACGGCACAGCATGGACAAAGCCTGACTGGGGTGGGCTCGGGAGAGAATGGGGGGGAAATGGACACTCCATCTCTTTAAAGTTTGGCTATAAAAGGAGCGAAAGAAAGGGAAGGGTTGTAGCTGGAGGATGGGCAAGCAAAGAGTTGAAAGAATGTTTCTTTCAGTTGTATTTTAGGAGATTTACCAGGTTTATATGTTGATGAGAACAATGCAGGAGAGGGGGGAAAACGGATTTAGAGGAACAAGATTGTTGGCGTTAATCTCTGCAGGCAAGAGCAGGTACGATCAATCTAGATGATCTGAGGCAGGACCATGGAGAGCGCACAGGGGCAGGAGGTGAAGAGAAACTGAGATGCTGGAAGGAGGGTGGATGGCATGATGGTAGATGTGGAAGTTCTATTTCAACGGCTTCTGTCTTCTAAGTGAAAAGTGAGGCAGCCACCAGCTGCGAGCAAGCGTGAGATGTTTGGGAGTGCGAGGATGTCAGCATCACAGGCTCTGCAGGCCCCAGGGAGATCTGTGATCGTGGAATTAGAGGAGGACCAGTCCCTCTCGGCTGGGTGGCGAGGGCATGGAGTGAGCCAGGGTTGGAGTTCTTGTCAGCCAAGTGTGATGTAGAGAGAGGCATTTCCAGAGTAAACAGAATTAAGTACTGTGAGAGGCAAGCTGAGCCGACTGCAAGTACTCTAGTCAATGTCTAAAAGTCACTTCCTTCATGCCTGCACCCATGGAGGGATCCTGCACTCCTGTGAGTGTGAGGCACTGCCCAGCATCATGTCAGCACTAGGAATGCCCATAACACGCTGGTGGGCCTTCCAGAGGCCACCTGTAGGTAGGACAACTACATACATAGTTTTCCTCTTCACTCATCAAAATGAACACACTACTTTCCCTTTAAATAGTACTTTTTTAATAGAAATGACCACTGAATTGTTTCTATATAACTAGATAAAACCTTCTCCCTCTTTCTCTCACCTCCCAAGACATTTCTATCCTTAATAGGAGTCTTCCATCCTGAGAAGTCAGGGGAAACTTTGTTTACAGTGTGGAAGGCGGTGCCACGATAATGAATTCAAGGACATAATGAGAGGAAAACTCAACAGGGGCCAATCAACACAGAGACAATAGAGAATTAGGATCTTTAAACGTCAGGGTTCTCCTTTCTCCTACGGTTGTGTATGACACAGTGCCAAACTAAGTGCCAGGACATACCACAGTGCAGGAGCAGCCTGTTTCTCTCCTGTTCTAGCCAGGCCCGTCATCTGTCTATCCATGTTCCTCAACCGCCCTGCAAGTGGGAAAGTAGGAACAATGGAGTCATGGAAAACAAAAATGCTGGTTCATCAGAAACAGTGTCCCAGATGAGGAGCTTGAGAGTTTCTTGCATTGCGGGGTTTGGGTTTTAGATGAATAAGTGAATATGTCACTGACTTGCTGGGTCACCCAAGACAAATTCACTTCATCTCTTAGGGCCCATTAAGGAGGATTTACACATTTACTAAAGTCCTTGAAGCTAACATAAATCTAAATCACTGAATTGGGAAATTTGGGTTTCAAGGTTGATAACCCATTTCAGCTTAGAGTTCTCTTATTTTTAAACTCTGCCATTCGATGGCCACTAAAGATTCCTGTGATCTTTCAGCAAAAGCAGCAACGTAACAACAAGCAATGATTTTCACTGCGTTTTAGAGAGAGGGGAAGGGGAAGAGAAAGAGAAAGAGAAAGAGAAAGAGAAACAGAGTGGTAGCTTCCCACATGCTCCCCAACCACAATTCCTGACTGGACTGAACCTGCAACCTGGGCATTTGCCCAGGCTGGGAATCAAACCTGGAACCTTTCAGTGTACAGAATGACATTCCTACTGACCCACACCAGCCAGGGCAAACAATAATTTTTATTTTATTTTGCTAATCCTCACCTAAGGATATTTTTCCATTATTAGAGTAGAAGGTATGAGAGAGAGAGAAACATAAATGCTCCCGCATGCATCTTGACTGGGGGCCAGGGATAGAGCCTGCAACCAAAGTACAGGCCTTTGACCGGAATCAAATCCACAACCCTTCAGTCCACAGGTCAACACTCTATCCACTCAGCCATATGAGGTAGGGCAAGCAACAATTTTTAAAAAGTCACTAAGATCAGAAGATCTAGGTACTGTCCCAAGAGACTAGAAGCAGGATGACAGGGCTGATAAAGCCACGGTCGTCCAGTGCAGAAACAGCAAGTGACTGTAGGCACTCTGTGGCCCTTGGTAGCTTGGAAAGTATAGGAATTATCGTTTTTTCCAAATGCTTTCTGGGTGGGAATTACCATCTTTACATTTAGGGTTAAACTCACACTTCGATGCAAGTGTGTAAGGATGTGCAGGCTTATAAACCCACAGCTTCATATAAGCAAAGTTTGAGGGGCATGTTGGGTAAGAAAGAAATGACTGAATACAAATGTAAGACCATCTTACTGGCACAGCTACAGCTTTAGAACCTTTAGAACCGAACAATGGATATCATTCCCAATACCACGAGGACTATGCCAAGGGCAGGGGAGATACTTGCTGACTAGAGAAAAAGAAAAAGGACAAGGACTTTTCTTGCCTTGAATACAAATTGAGAAAAGCAAATCTGAGCATTATTCCAACTCTTATCAATACCAGACATTGTCAGCAACCCAAACCACCGAACCTGCAGCCCGTCACTATCAATCAATTCAAGTCCTGCTGTCGAAAGAGGCCCCTGTGGCCAGGGCACATTACAAAAACATCTTATCTACCTTATTTACTCAGCTAAGAAGTCTACTTTATTGTAATAGCCTGAGCTTCTCACTCTCCTCTATTATAGAACCACTGGTTCTTCTAAGGATCACTCGCTTTTGGGGGGATTTGGGGACGGGTGGAGGGGGAGAGGTGGCACAAAAGTAAAAGGATACAAACAAAATACTTCCAGTCTGCCTCTAGGAAGATTAAAGTGCTGAGTTACCAGAAAATGACACAGAAAATCATCATCAATTTGGACTATAATGATTGGGCATTTTGTGACGATTTGGATAGATGCCAAGGAAATTATTTCTGAATAATATTAAAAATAATGACTTCTTGGCAGAGCTCCATTCGGCGAGGACAGTCTAACCCTGGAATACCTTGCCGGCTGGGGTGTACTCTCCCCTCTGTAGTTCTGCAATAAGCCCTGCTGTTTGGTTTGTTTTCACCTGGAGGAGGAACAACCCATAAAAGAGAAAAGGTCTGTTTCTGTGACCTCACTGAGGAAGGACTTCATGAAATGGTACCTGGTTTCCAAGCATTATAATAATCCAATGTTTTGTATGAAAAAATGGGTGACACTGTAGCAGAATAATTTGTCAAATGGAGTTGGAATCCCAGTTTCCAGCCTTGCCTTTTTTTTTTTTTTTTTTGCCTCAAATCTGAAGAGAGCCATGATTTCCTTCAGAAATGCTATTTGCAAAAACAGAATAAGAAGGCATTGACCTGTAGAAACCAGTTTGGCTCAGTGGATAGAGCGTAGGCATGAGGACTGAAGGGTTCTGGGTTCAATTCCAGGTTGCGGACACATCCCCAGTAGGGGGCGTGCAAAAGGTAGCCGGTCAATGACTCTCTCTCATCGATGTTTCTAACTATCTCTCTCCCTTCCTCTGTGTAAAAAATCAATAAAATATATTTTTTTAAAAAGGCATTGACCTGAAAAACACGTTAAGTTTATAAGTAAAACAAAACAAAGAGCAACAAAAACCCCAAACCAGGAAGTGTCAAAAATAAAATAGGAAAATGGTTTAGTTACTAATAAAATTTACAGAAACCAAGTGAACAAGAGGTGAGGAAGACTGCCTGTCGCTCTATAAATAAGCAACGCACTGGTTGAAGAGGCAGTGTGGAAGGCAGAATCTGTAGATATGGGTTTGAAATCAATCCCCATTTGTCACTTTCTAGCTGCAACCTCAAGCTATCTCCCTTATAAAATCAGGCTTGTGAGGCAGTCAGAATTACATGAAAACATGACTCCAGTGCTTAGCACAGAACCTGGCCCGTGTGGCAGCCGCAAAGGACTGGCTGCCCTGCCCCGTGTCTGATTGCCTAGCATATCAGGGCTTCAATATCAGCTTGAGGTGCATATGCATACCTAATTCCCAAGGTTGCCAAAAGATTCTCCCTATCCCCGCCTCCATCAAAAACCATAAATAGAGAAAAAGGTATAGCAAGACAGTCAATAGATTTTCATAGAACTCAATGACCAAACAATAAGAATGCATGATTTGCATATGTTGATGCAGGATCCTACCCAAAGGAAACAAGGCTCAAATCCAAGAGACGGAAGGAGAGTCCAGGAAGCCACCCGATTTATAAGATAAGCCTTCCAAATTCTGAGCTAATCTACACCTACTTGTTACACTAACTCTTTTTTCCTTCCTCTAGAAAACAGATGAGGATGCAATTGATTTTGACTATACGGTCCTACTTCATGAATTCTCAACACAGGTAAAACACAGCATTACACAGTCTTGTTTTTACCAGAATTCTTTGCAGCTCTTAATGTTTTAAAACCGCTGTTTCCTAGGAAATCATTCCCTGTCGTATTCACTTGGTCTGGCACCCGAGCAAACCCCTTAAAGTGAAGTACCACTGTCAGGGGCCGCAGCCACCAGAGGAAGCCTCTGGAACTGAAGAAGGATCGGCAGTGGCACCGACGGGATTCAGCAATTACTGAAAAGAAAGGAAAAGACCTGCTTATCCCAAATTTTAAGCACAATGATTGTACAAAGTAGCCTGAGTCATTATTCTGGTAAAATAGCCAATGTCTAAGGCATCCTAATAATTCAGAAAGCCTGAGATGCACACCATTGAAAAGATGTTGGAGTTAAATATATTTCAAGGAAAGCCAATTATAGGAAAAACCATTATCTGTTTAAAAGGAATTGTGCTATTTTTATGATCTTAAGCAAGTATTCTTTTATAACTTGATAGCTACTTTTAAATAAATGTTTACATTTCTAAATAAACTGTGTTAAGTCTATTTGTGGAGATTTGTTGGCAAATTCTGTGCTAAGATGGATTTAAATGAACTCTTAATATTGTTAAATTCACATTTTACAAATAAAATTAGAGCATCTCACAGTTAAAGCCTAAGTGTTTGCAAACATGTATTAAATGGGACAGTGATGTAACTGTAAGCATAGAAAGTATTTACAATTTTAACTTTTAAGGACAATTTGGACGCAGTGTTGGCCTAAGTCATCTACAACAATGGCGGGGGCATTAATTGGGGAACTTATATGCATGTAAGTGCATAGCCCTTGGACACAGACAATAGGGTGGCGAAGGGTGGGTGTGGGGAGGAGGGGGTCAATGGGAAAAAAATAACAAACACAAAGGAGGCATCTACAATACTTTCAACATTAAAATTTAAATAAGGAGGGAAATGTACAACAGACACAATATGTACATAATCTGATTCAGTGGAGTACCTATAATACTTCCCCAAAGGTAGGCAGAATTGGTCCAAGAAATGTAGTCACCACTTGCCTCTCAAAATTAGTATCATTTAATGGAACACTTACATTTGTGTGTGAAAACCGGAAGCCAGATTCTTTGGCTAATAAATTGATTAGGAAGCATCAGCCTTAAAATGTACCAAATCATTCAAGTCTACCCTATCAGAAAATTGGAAAAGTTCACATAGAAGAGAAACAATTTAAAGTCATGAATTCTTACAAAATGAAAGATGGATGATACTGTTACTTTTTAGTAGATCTAATTTATGTATTTTTGTTTAAAACCCCAACCTTTTACATTCATCTTCCCAACATTCACTCGACTTAAAGAGCAGTAAGTACTCTGAAGCGCTGGGAGATAGTCATTTAAAGAAAACATCACAGATTCCCCACCTGTGTCCTAACGCAGAGAAAATATTTTTCTAAAATAGCAATCTAGAATGATTAAATCATGCCAAAACCAAAGGATAAACTCCTCTAACTGAAGTTCCCTACATAATGTTAAAAAATGGTGCCAGAGCATTGGAATGGCATATTCAATGCCCTCTGACCTTTAGCTTAAGGGCTAGAAGGGTTTCAGCTTTCCAGAGTCTCACCTCACCCTCATAAAGGCATTTTTAATTAGTGAGATTAACTCAAGTATAACCATCACTCAAGCAGGTAAGAACTCTAAGGTAACCCTTTAACAGTTTATTTCAGTGAAATTTATTATGAAGGGGAATTATACACACAAAGACAACATACAAACACAATTACCTAATTTGTAAATTTACAAGACCCACAAAACTACTAAAAATTCCTCAGTATTACATTAGAACATCTTTTCTAACAAAAACTCTAAAAATTGCTGGTTTGATTTTAGTAATACTGATTTTGCTAGCTTACTGCAAAGGAAAATTACTTCATTGACTGTGACATAACATGAAAAACTCTCAATTCCCCAAGCCCTCTTTCATTAAGTCTAAGTTCTGAATCACTCTGAGCCAATGACAGTTATATACAGCATCACATTCATTTTCTCAGCCTCCTTCAGAACTTTAAAACATAATAGTACAAATAGTACCAGGATTTTGTCTACATTCTATTTGATTCTACTCACTTTCATTTTTTTTTAATTTTTTAAAAAATATATATTTTATTGATTTTATACAGAGAGGAAGACAGAGAGATAGTTAGAAACATCGATGAGAGAGTCATCGATCAGCTGCCTCTTGCATGCCCCCTACAAGGGATATGCTCGCAACCAACGTACATGCCCTTGACCGGAATCGAACCCGGGACCCTTCAGTCCCCAAGCCGACGCTCTATCCATTGAGCCAAACCGGTCCCGGCTCAGTTTCATTTTTTCTTACCTGATTTATAAATTGTTAGAAGTTAAACAAGTTCTCATTTGAGGGTCAGTTGGAAGTTTCTATAGTTGCCCTTGAATGATTGTTCTTCATGACACGAGTTTATTACACCAATTTTTTTCTCAGCTTAGAACCTATTCTGTGACCTTCATTGGCTTTCAGAGTGCTACAGTTACCTAACTTATTTGAATAAATGTTCCCTGGCACCTCCTTGAATAAATGCTTACAATAAGTTGTCTTGAATATATTTACTGTTTCAATGATGCATTCCAATGCTATTTATTTGAAAATACTTTAAGCAGCAATTAAAGCTCAAATTCAACAACTTATAGTGTTAGCAATGCAAATAGCTGTCTTCTACAGAGATGTATTCCATCATGTCATAATTTACCACTACTTCGTGGCTGCCAAGTTTCATTGACATAAATTTTAAGACTCATCCATATTTTGAAAATATTAAAATAAAACTTCAGAATTAACAAAACTTCAAAACTAAACAATCTGAGAGTGAGCAAGGAAGAAAGTAATAACAGAAAATTGCCTGTATTTCTTTTAAGGTAAAGTTATCATACTAAGAACTAGCCCAAGCTTTAACATCACACAAAAGAATATTAGTTATAGGACACATCTGAACCAATCTTCCATTTCACATCTTGAAGGTGCAGGCAACACTGCAGTGGTCTTTCATCTTACCTGCTACTATCATCACTTGGGAAACTTTTGATCTTAATCCAGAGAATCAGACTACCTGAGGTTGGCCTGGGTGTTTCTTTCACAGCTCCCCAGGTGACTTTCCAAGAGTGGTAGAGACAGGAATCAGGGCAATATTGATGGTGTTGCTACCATTCTTCAATACAAGCAATACGTCTTTCTTTAAATTAACCAACAATCATCCTTCACAACTGTAATATTTAAAAAAGTCCCCATTGATTTCTTTCTCGTTACAGACTTCGGCTGATAAGTAGTCTTTAATCAACTATAGCCTAATGAGTTAGCAAGAAATGTGGGTACTGGTCCCGATTTGTCCTTATGAAATCCTATTCTAGTTACTCCTGCCAGCTGGACTTGTTTCGTTGTCTATGAAATGTTGGTGTTGAGACTAGATAACTATGCTCTTTTCTGACACTTTGTCTTTATGACCAGAATGTTTAACAAGTTAAAAACATCAACATTTGCCTATCTTAGTTCTAATTTTTATGACTGCTGGCAACAGCCAGAGGAACTGTGCTAAATTCCATGACAGCATTTCTTCCTCAGGAACAAGATTCTCTGTGATTTTGATTGGCATGGGATGCTGATGAAATGCCAATGCAACATTTTTCAGGTTTGATGGTATTGTAGCAACAGACATATCATGGGAAAAATGCACTTGAGATGATAAGTTATCAATTGAAAACGTGACTGAGCTTTGTGGTCTTAGACATGTGATTTCTGCACTTTTGCTTCCTTAATTACAAAATCAACCCAATAGTACCTACTTTCACAGGAGAGTGAAAACGAAATTAGCCCTTAGCAAATGCCTTAAAAACATGTGCTCAATACTTGTAAAAAATCTTTTTTTCTCAAAACCTTAAGTTATAAAACCAAATCTATAAATCAAGAGAAACAAAAGAATTTAATTGTTATTTTATTTTTATTATTCACTAAGGGAAATAATTTGGATATGTCTGTTACATCACATGATTTCTGGATAAAGTGATTCTGAACAATATGGTAGACTTGCCAGGGAAATCCAACTTATTTAAAAAACAAAAGCTTAACATTTGTTCCTTCATGATCTCAGTGAATATAGTATGATAAATTCCAAATTCAACTAGCACTTAGTAGGTGAATGAACTGACTAGGCAGGAACTCTGAAACATGTATTTCATTATTTAGAGCTGCAGAAACCTTCCGATGAACATAAATGAGAATTGCATGTGCCAGGGCCTGTTTTGTTTTTTTGTTTTTTATCTCACTGGACCACAAGAAAGAAACATCAACACTCCTAAAAGAAGGCAGCTACATATTTGCAGAGCCCACAAATGAAAACAATCAGCTCCACATAAAACAGCTAGAAATTTAGCTGGCATTTTAATATACCAATGAAGAATCTGAAAAACATACTCTTTTAAGACCATATGGAACCCACCTACTCTTAAGTAAAAAAGCCTGCCTGTTAAAGATGACACTCCAAGAAGTGTCATGATATGTGCAGTTCACTTTCAAGTGTTTAGCAAAACAATAATTTAAAAAAATTAAAAATATAAAAGTATGAGAGGTATAGACAACAAACAGATAAAGCAAATATTGCAAAACAAATAATCAGATTAACAAATTGTTAACAAAATTGTTCATTGTTGAGACTAGATGGAAGGAATATGGTTCTTTCAGTTTTGCTTTGTTAAAAATTCTTATGATAAAAATTTGGAAAGGAAGGTCACACACATTCAAAGCCTTGACATGTAACTGATATGTCTCTTCCCGCTTAAAATAAATATAAAATATATATCAGTAATAATCATATTTTATTTGAGTTTTTTCAGTGAACTATAAAACCATTCAATAGAGTTGATATATATTATACATAGAATTAACTTTGATATGATAGGAGCTCCTGAATATAATAGAAAGGGCTTCTAAAATTTCTTGTTTCTGCCTGAACTCATTCCACCAGAAGCCATTAACATATACAAGCCCTGCAGATTCAGTTAAAGTTAGCTAATGTAAATGAATAAAGTTAGTTCTTGGCTTTTCCTTTTTTTACAGGAAGTTGACCTGTTGCTTCCAAATACTTATTAATGAGGTCCTCTTGTGTGGCTGGTAAACATGGCTGGTATCTGCAGTACTCCATTGTGTACTCTCCCTTCCCCTGGAAATTAAAAAAAAAAAAAAAAAATAGCAGAGATTAAAAAAAAAACCTTTTTATTACTATCAGGTAAAGTCATGCAAAGACAAGATTTCACAAATTCGATCCTTTTGTAGAGTAGACTCTTAAAAGGCACTAAAGTAAAATTTAAAACAATTGCTTACCTCTGTACATGACCTAAGCTCAGTGGAATAACCAAACATATCATTTAGAGGGACCTGGAAACAAACACAGTAGATATTTTAGTACTGCTTATTGAATATATTTGGAAAAAAAACCAACACACACAAACAAACAGAGAATAGCCATTTAATTCCTTTAGACTTAGGTTTCTTTAAAAGAACTTTAGCCAAAGAGAAACTTATTTTTGTTTTACTGCAAGTAGAAATCCTATTTGAATATAATTTCACTTGACAGTCACAACTAGAGACCAAATGTTTCAGTTGCACAGAGTGGCCATCACTGACAGCCTTCCCCCCATCCTCACTCCACACTCTCTGGCCAGCTCAGCACTCAGACGTGTTTCTTCTGTGAAACTGTTCAAACAACTCTCCTTGGGACACCTTGATGACAGGTTGACTGTACTGTCTTCTAGGAAGCCTTATGGAACGTGATAAAAGACTTTCTCCCAGGAAATTTAAGAAAGGAAATGAAATATTAGCCCAATAAATTAGAGAGATCATAAATAAAGCACATTTGCAAATAAAGCTTTAATGAGAAAGATAATTAAATATCTAAGAAAAGAACATATTCACAAAAGGCCTACATGAAATGAACTATATTTTCAGCTTTTGCACTTAAGAGTGGCTGTAACAGCAAATTATAGAAATTGCCATATATATAAAAGCCACAAATTCAACACTCAAATAGCCAGGAAAATATGTCAATTCATTCTACAATTTTCCAAAACAAAAGCTAACTCTAATTTCCTGTTGTGGTTAATAAAAGCAAGATTGGCAGTGACCAACAATACTTACATCGGCATACAGTGTAAAATAGTCCTCAACCCCATCTTGTCCAGTGATTATCCCGTGGCGCCGGTTAATTCCTGCAATCACTGCTCCCTGAAATTCATTCGGGGCCACAACTTCCACAGACATAATGGGTTCAAGAATACATAATGTTGCATTTGCCAAGGCTGGATTTAAAAAGAAAAATTAGTTTATTAATATTTAAGCAAACTGGAACACTTTTTATCCAGATATAAAAAAAGAAAGATAGAAGGTACTCTCCCAAAGATACACACAGAAATGACAAGGTTAAAATATTTAATCTGGTCTCATTTTTCTGAGATCAGTAACAGTCACTCTTCTAAATGGAAATTTCAATAAGACAAAGCTAAGTTTTAGTATTTCTATTACTATATTTTTAACTTTAAAAATCATTAAGCTACAGAGGATAACATAAAAGTGGTCTTAAAATCACATTAAAGTCCTTTACCATTTCAATCATGCAGTCGAGAGTTACTTATTCTCTCTGAAAATCTGCAGGAGTAAAGACACTAACTGGTAAAGCCTATTCTTTCTTTTTGCTAAGCAATAAATGATAATTAAATTGAGAAGTTTGGTAACCCAAAATGTTCACCCTAAAATTCTCAGATGGCATTCAATAGAGATATATGCTTAAAATCTGATTTTCTTACTGAGCTCGTCAAAAACTTTATTTTATCGTTTATATTTCTGACTTTCATGGAGAAATAAGAATTAGATGAGGAAACAGCAAAGTAATTCATTTTTCATGCTAACACCAGGCCTATTTGCACATTCAACTGGCAAGCAAAAACCCCGCCCCCCAAACTTCTCAATTCAATTATCATCTAGTGCTTTTCCTTTGCATATCTATACTTAATCATATTTATACATTTAAATAATTAAAAATTAAATAGTACATATTCAACTTTTAGTTAGTATTTATAGATATTCAGGCTTTTCTCATTGGATGTACATGTGTATATGATAGGCATATACATCTATATTAATATTTCAAATAAGGACAATTAAAAGAGATGAGGCTTTGCTAATTGATAACCATACCAATTATCTTGCTTTATGTAACCTCTATCTCCAGAAAAGCTACCAATTTCCAGTTGAGAACCAGCATAGAACTATTGGTGATTTCTAATTTGGTTTAACTGTATTTTTGAAAAGTATCACAAGGCATACATTTACAAAACCATTACACACTTTAAATATCTTACAATTTTGTCAATTACACTTCAATAAAGCTTAAAAGAATATTACATTAATCCAACTAAGCTATTAGCTTAAGATTAAAGTGATAGAAACTTAGAGGACAAGAGGCAGGTGTTTTAATCTCAACCCTGGTTAAAAAAGTCTTACTTTCTTTGTAACTTTATTTCCCTTTTCCTATCCTATATAATAAAAGCCTAAAATGCTAAGTATCCAGTCATCCGTTCAACCAATCAAAGCATAACATGCTAATGATATGCTAAGGCTGCTCAACCACTCATTATGATGTGCGCTGACCACCAGGGGGCAGTGAACAGGTCGACCAGTCGCTATGATGTGCACTGACCACCAGGGGGCAGACGCTCCAACTGGTAGGTTAGCTTGCTGCTGGGGTCCAGGACTGAGCAAATAGAGCCGAACATGCCCTGGAGCCCTCCTGTGGTCCCTTTCCAGCTGGCAAACCTCCCAAGTCCCTCCCCAGTCCTGATGAATTGTGCACCAGTGAGGTCCCTCAACCCGCCCTGCACCCTTAGGACCCCACTGCTGCATGCTCCAGGCCTCTAGTTTAACAATCTTCAGATTGACAGGGTTTGTAGATCACAGATTTCAACTGCAATTTTAATAGACAGCTGACATAAAGAAAATGGGAAGATTCTCTCACAACTGAGAAACAAAAACACAAACTACTAATTTCTTATTTTACTAGATCGTTAATTTCTTATTTTACTGAAACTAATGGAAGACATTAGCGACCTAGTCAAAGTATGAGCAACCTTTTCCAACCACTGTCCCCCACCTGATTTCAGGACACAATTTATAAGTTTCTTGGTTAAATAACCTTGAAGCCAAACTGCTGTAATTTGCTTTTCTCTCTTAAAAACAATGAATCAGATATATTTGCAATTGCTTATAGCTGTCTCTTATGGGTTTTAATATACATTATTCTTTGTGAGAAAGGCTGGCAAGTTTATCAATTTAGCAGGTAGTCTGCACAGAGAATAAGGTTTACTGAATTCTTTCAAAATACTGTGCCATCTTCAAAATGTCTAAAAGCCTTCAATGTCCTACAAGAGAAAATTATAAACTTATGGAGTTCCTGATATCTGACTAAATCACACACACACACACACACACACACACACACACACACACTGTGACTATAGTTAATGTGTCTTTAAAATATTTCTTAGAAATCTGAATATTTCTGTCATATATGAAAAACAACATACCGTATTTTCCGGCGTATAAGACGACTTTTGAAATGAAAAAAAGTCAACCGAAAATCGGGGGCAAAAGACCAAAATTGTATACATTATTTGTGATTTTAAATATATAAAAATTAACAGGTAATTTAGGAGAATAGATAGGCTTTTAATTTTACATAGTACTCTTGCCTCACGTTTGTTCTATGAACATATGCTCAGGACTGGCCAGGTTCTCTGGTGTGCCGCCCAGCTCTCTGGGAAGGGAAGACCAAACCAGCAAGCGAAAACAGCGAGTGACGCAGCGAGTGCTAGGACAAGCGTACCTTGTTTGAGCGCCCCTTCTCCTGCACGGATGAAAGAGATTTCATTGGAGTCAACCATGTGATGTGCTCCATCTTGCAGGACGAAGCGGAGCCCAGAGAGTTTGTGACCAGTCAGAGGGCCCTTCTCGCAGGCATCCAGAAACCCCTGTGAATGAAGGAACACCACTTCTGGAGTGAGTGGATTTCCCTTGCAGATGCATCACCAAGAGCCCCCAAACATTTTAGTATTGAGAAGCTTAACATTTTTATGTGTGCTATATTTCATACCTCATAAAAAAATTTTTAAAAAGTTGAACAGCCTGGCATCTAGATGAATAATCCCTTGGAAAAGAGTATTAGCTAAAGGTGTGAGTTGATTTGAAAGTAATGCTGAGAGTGATAACGATCACTTTCTCGAAACCTCATTTTCAAGAACTACATAACTCTCATAACCCATGATAGAGATAGCATGGATCTTAATTTTACAGGGAGGAAACAGATGAAATGCAAATCAAAGGAACTCCCCAAAAGAAAACCCCCAACAAAACTGGCATTTATTCAACAGCTGCAATTCTTTAAAAAACTAGGTATAAATGACACAAACTATTCATATTTAGAGTACAATTGATATGTTCACAGTTCTTTTTCATCCAACCACTTAAAATATATTTGTAGAACTCCTATAATTCAAGTTAGTTTTTCTTGGCAAAACAATCAAATGGCTGCACATACACTACAATATATTTCTCTGATATTTAAAAACTGTAAACTCTGTATGTTAAAAAACAATCTAGCTCTAGTTCATCTACATTAATCTTGAGGAATAGAAGATAATGTGAAAAGTGTGTGAATGGCAAAATATTGTCTTGAAATAAAGTATAATGAATAAAATACACCAATCACAAAAAATGCTATCACCACTGATACCAAAATTTTAGAATCTGTTAATAAAGATATGTTACAAAGTTAAAAACAACAATGAAAAACAATCTATAAGAACAGATTGTGGTTAAAAGTTTACAGCTGTCTTAAGCCAGTGACCTAGAAAGCTAACAAAACACTAACCATTGACATGTGCAGAGCACTTCATAACCGGCAGAGAAATGTCACTGTCTTATCTGATCCTTAGTTTTGTAAGGGCTTAAGTATTTCACTCTCTCTTTACAGATAAAGAAACTGGCTCTGATTTACCAAAGAGCACAGTAACCGGAGCAGAGGTAACAGCAGAGCCCAGGTGTTGGGAATCTTAATGAATGATTGTTCTACAAAGTCACCTAAAATCTTCATAAATCCCTAATGACTACTGCAAATCTGAATCGCTGCTTACAATCAATGGAGTACTTTCAACTTAGCAAGAGAAATATATAACTTTATCAACTTAACAAGAGAAATAATCATGATTAAGAAACAAAATGATTTCCCTTCATTGCTCTACACACATTTATAGCTCTTGAACTTAATGAACTGAATATTCTAAACTGGATAGAAAGCTTAGCAATTAGATTAAGTAGTAGTATTTTAAAATGAACTAGGGAAGACAATGTGATAGAAATATGAGTTGATACCTAATAAACGCATGCTTTTTATTTTTACGTGTGTTTTTTGTTTTGTTTTCACCTTTTCTACAGCAGGCACAAATTGCTTGGGAACATTTGACCCAAATGTTTCATCTGAAAACTCCAGCTTAGTGTAGTTCTCTGGCTCCAGAGGCTCCAGGACCCCTATCACTCTTCCAAACTGGCCTGCACCACCCGATTGCTTTTTATGTGTAAACTCGAACCTAAAAGAGATTTAGGAGGGGGGAAAAATTAACATAGCATAATGTACTTACCAAATTCAATCACTCATACCAATTTAAATGAAAAATCCCATTTCATTATTTTTTTTCTTTGAATATGATGGCTTTGCTATAAAAATTATAGAATTTATTTAAAAAGGAATTCTTTCCTTTCTGTTTTTACTTAAGAAGCGGGGATAAGATATACCACCAAAATAATCCATGGCCTAAATTCCACCAATTCTGAATTTATTCCCCAAGTAGAAAAGTAAAAGTCAAGTAATTAAAATAATAAGTCAGGCCCTGGCTGGTTGCTCTCAGTGGTTAGAGCTCTGGCCTGCAGACCGAAGAGTCTCGGGTGTGATTCCCATCCCCAGCCCTGGCTGAGGTGCATGCCGAAGGCAACCAACCGATGCGTCTCTTTTATCTCTCTCTCTCTCTCTCTCTCTCTCTCTCCTCCCCTCCCCTTACTCTCTCTAAAAATTTCAATGGGAAAAATATCCTATAGTGAGGATTAAAGAATAAGTCACACTAAGGTTCTTGTCTAGTAACCGACATTCCGAAGAGCTTATCCATTTCTTTGGAATGTCTCCCTTTCTAGGATAGTGTTCTCTCCTTAAATCTCTACAACCAAGGATAATTATTTGTTATTTGTAAATGGAAGCTCAGCAGTTATTTATTCAGATAGTCCCTATCTGGTTTTATTACTTAGACATTATGGATTGATGCAATACAGGACAAGGGAATTTCATGTGAAATAACACCCCAAAATGATTAATAGCAAAAAGATAATGACTAATCATAAGTCATTCAAAGGGACACGTATATAAACACAGGTTGGTGTCTACTTTAAACCACTAAGAGCAATATAAATAGAACAAAGTAAGCATTTTACATACAAACTAAGCATATGCACTGAGTGAAACCAGCTAGGGCAATACTAAGCATGTTTACACAGGCTACTATTTCATTTAAAAAACATTTCATGAGTATCTACTATTTACAAGGCATTTCTTTCTTTAAAATGAAATCTTTATCAAGACATCAGATAGAAGAGATCAGCTCCTTACAAAATTGTCTGTAGGTAACTGTAGAGTGGCGGACATTAATGAGTTCGTCTTCCTGCATACCTATCTTTGGGTGGTTTGGAAGATGTAAATATTAATTTTGGTAGGAGATGATAGCTTAGAATAAGCAATTTCATAAAGAGGCCCCAACAGTGTCTGATGAAATGCCTTTAAATAATCTTCCAGTGGTCAAGAGCTTCAAGATGGCCTGGGATAAACAAAATGCTAAAAGGTTAATTCCTGAGAGGGATGTAAACAGCCATCAGAGCAAAAAGAAGGAAAGCAGCAGAGAAACAACTGCCAAGTCACCACACGTTTACTGAAGGTTCCAAAACTGTGGTCCACTGAGTTTTTGAGACATTTTACATTTTGTTTTCAATTTGATGGTAAAAAAAACATCTACACACTATAATCTAGATCTGTGCTGTCTATATGGTAATCCATAACCATGGGTACTTATGTTTAAATTAATTGAAATTAAATAAAATGTAAAATTCAGTTCCTCAGATACATAAGCCACATTTCAAGTGGCCAACAGACACGCGGGGAGAATGTCTACTGGACAGAACAGCGAGACAGAACAATTCCATCACTGCTCAAAGCTCCATGGCAGAACTGCTGTGGAAACCCCACTCACAAACAAGTCCCCCATGCAGCTTCAGGGACCACGGGAATCCACAAAATCAAGTGGATGCCAAATAACAAAACATCTGTGTGCCAGGTCTGTACCAAGCACTTAACTTGTTCTATGCCACAAACTGATGAAATGGGTGCTGTTTTTATCTCCATTTTACAGATGAGAAACTTAAAGGTCACAGAAAGTACGTAACTTGCCAAACATGACATAGGTATCACGAGGCAGAGCCAGGATTTGTACAAACTCCAATGCTCTTCATCAAACATTTTTCTAGAAGGCTAATAAGAAAAGAATATAAACTGATTTGGTCTGCGAATGATGCATCCACTTCCAGAGCCGTTAGAGGGTGCTGCACAAATAGATTGTACACGAGCTCACACAGAGACCAGGTGGGCCAGCACAGGCATGCCGAGAGGAAAAGAACCCAGGCGCCTGTGGTCAGCTCACCCACATGCTGCGAAAGGCCATTTGGTTTTGGCAAAACATCACGTTTCACATTAAAATTAATGTTAGTTAGCATTGCGCTGGTTTTATTGTTTATTTCTACTTTATAGCTTCATTTGGACTGTATAGGCGGATCAAAGTTGTAAGCCATAGGTGTTACTTAGTTTTATGTTTATACAGGTATATAAAATCAGTTTAATTTATCTGATCCCAGAGATCAATAATAATTTTGTTCCTTTTAAGATAGCCCATACATTATTTGAGGATTATGGTCTTTTGATTAACCATCCATGAAGCTTTAGTAAGATTTCAAGGACTCAAATATAGAAATTATATAAAGAGATTTTCTTAATGCAGTTTATTTAACATTTAAAAAAGCAGTTAAATTTTTTAATGCAATAATTAAATTTTAAAAAAACTTAAAAGTTGATATGAAAACTTTTAATAAATGCTGGTTACATTGCAACCTATACAATTAACCTTGATCTACAGAGATGGCAATTGTATTCATAAAACTTCCAAATGGTGACCTTATCTAATACAGATATTAACTAGCTATTTTGTGAAACTTTAAAGTTCATTTTCAGGAAAAAGCTCTTTCTGCATCATCAAAAGGCCATAGTCACTCTTTCCTGGACACTATCAAAGGAGCACACAATTCAAACAATTCACACACTCACACACACACCCCCGAAGAGGTTGGCTGATAGATGAATGACTCATACCTTTTCCCCTCAAAAAAAAAAAAAAAAAAAAAAAAAAAAAAAAAACCTTCAATTTTGTAGAAAAAGTCTTGAGAAGCTAACCTCTTTGTCCTCTAGTTACTTGACAGCTATTGTCTAATATTACTAAAAAAGATGGAAATGCCTTACTGCTTCCTATTTTTTTTAAAAAAATATTTACTCCAAAGAAAGACTAAGTAAATTGGAAAGAGTTTTTGAGGAAGACAACACATTCAAATACATTTTTCACTTTTTTAAAGTACCATCACAACATATGCCTGGCAAAACACAAAAACAAAATAAAGCCCTTCAAAAACCCATTTTTGAAAAAAGAGCAAAAGAAATTTTATTCCAAGCCAGCAAACTAAAGTGCGGGTTTGACCATACATCTGATGAAAAGGAACCTTAGCTTTCTGACCTAAAGAAAATCCAAATAGCTTAAATTATAGCCTCTTGAAAGGTGACCCAAGAAAGTAAAAAATCTAGAATGAAAATGCATTACTATTAAAAGTTTGGGCTTGCTTAAATAAAGGAGCTTAAAAAAACCCTGCTTTTGTACGAAACCAGGACATTGAAAAAGCTTCTGAGTTCGGTCTTTAAGTGTGCCTTAAATCCTTAAAAGTTAAATTTTCAGGAAGTTGGAAGAGTGTTATACCAAAATCTAACCTAAGTGAAAGGAGACAGGGGTGCAAGTGCATTTTTTAAACTTCCCCTGACCCACATTACATAACCCTCCAAATGAATGCTATAGTTTGCAATCTCTCATACCCTGATTTGGGCAGAACTGGCCCAACCAACCCCACAAAAAGCTAGGTAAGAGCAAGCCTGTTCCTGGCCTCACAATGGGAGGGGTGAAGCAGGGACAGACACCTATTCACTGCAGGGCGCTCCTTTGCACTTTGTCCTGTGTGACACTGAGGGTGGTGCATAAGGAAGTTGTGCTCCAGCCTGCAAGTGAGGCAACCAAACATTCTCTCCATGAAGAGGAATTTAGGGCTCTATAAAGGTAAAGGCCAGAGAGCCCCTCCCGCCCTTCTGTAAGGATGAAGTCTTGCCGCCCAGTCCCCCAGCCCCGCCCCGCCTGGCCCTCTGCTGATGGAGGGGCGCACCCCGGGCGGCGGAAACCCGGAGTAAAAGCACGCAGCAGGGCGGGGCGCGGGAGCTGCCAGGCCGGCAGCCGGCGCCCTGGAGCAGCTTCCTGCACCGGAAGGAGGGAAGGAAGGAAGGAGGGAGGGAGGGAAGAAGCTGGCGAGCCCGCCCACGCCCAGCCCAGCGGGGCCAGCCGACTCCTCCGCCTCCCCGGCAACGCTGCAGGCTGCGAGGCGAAGGCGGCGCTCGTCCCCACAGACCCGCGCGCTCTCCCCGCCGCCGCCGCTCGCAGGAATGGAAATCCCCCCGACCCACTACCCGGCCTCCAGGGCGGCCTCGGTGGTGGAGAACTGCATCAACTACCAGCAGGGGACCCCCAACAAGGTGTTCCTGGTGCAGACCGTCCAGCAGGCCAGCATGGAGGTGAGTCCAGCGGCGCCCACCCGGGCTCGGCACTCCCGAGGGTCCCCTCCCTCCCTCTGCGCTTTGGGATTGGCTGCCGGCGGCAGGTCTACACGGGTTAACGTTTCTGGGGAATAGTCGGCTATCCAGTCTCGGGGAATAGCCTGAGGCCTGTTTATTTTCAAGGGAAGGCAGAGACACGATATTTTTATGGGCACTGTTACAAGTAAATGCGGGAAATGTTCCCGATGAGAGGCAGCAGCATTTGCCGTCCCCCGAGTGAAACCTGTAGGAACCATTGAAAAGAATCTTAAAAATGCTATGACATTGCTCGCCTACTGAACCATCTGGATCAACAAGAGCTCCTATCTTGCAAATGATTCATTTTACGACCAACCCTTATTAGACCCTTTGACTAAAATGACGGGGGAAACGACGAGCAAGAGAAACTGACAACCAGTATCGTTGTGGCGAGAAGCTTCGCTTTAACCACCCAAAAGACTAGTACAACCAACCATAGGTGATGTGCTTGCTCTCTCTGGCTAAAGGGTTAAGTTCAATGCACAGGATCTCAGCAATCACTAGTCTTGTTTCCATTTTACTAAAATCTAATGGGTTTGAAATTTTTCATTTTTTATCTGA